CCTGGACCAGCAGGGGTTCATTTTGATTATTAAATCCCCACATGCGTCGTTGACTGCCCCTCTCCTAATCGGGTTGCCTAGCTATTTGCCGCCACAACTCGGCTTTTAAGAAGCTATGGGTGATTCTCACCTGCTGGCAAGCATCGCCAGATGGGGACCGGTGCCGTCGTGCAATAAGAGACGTTAAAAACAATGTTTTCACTTGGTCTTATTTTCTTTGAAAACTCTACAACTCGTTCAAAAGTCCTAATGTGGACAGGATTCTGTGTACTATGAGAGTTCATAGCTTTGATTTCCTATTAGCCCTTTTTTTAAAAAATCGTATTTTATTTATTTATTTTATTATTTTTTTATTGATGATGGTATGGCATAATTGTCCTCATCCCTCCATTCCCACCCCAAACCCCTCCCCACATATGCCCCCCCCGAGAGAATGTTGCACCTGTGTGCGTTGCACCAACAACTAAGGAAACCCTAATAAGAGGGATACGTGCTGGGGGAGGCATGTTCGCATCTAGAAAATGAGGACAGAAGCAAGGAATCCCGTGGAAGAAGGCTCCGCACCTCTCCCCTCCTGACCTGTACGCCGTCGTGGCCCGCGCCCTCCCCCCCCATCCCCCCTCCCCCCGTGTCAACGGGAGCTCATTAAATGTAAATCCCGCAGCCCGCCCGGGCCACGCCATCTTAGTGCTTGCCAGGGCCTGACATTTTTAATACATTAATAGTACGTCTGTAGCGGAATGGAAAACTATTAATCACAACTGGTTATGTGCCAGAAATGGGAGCTATAATTGGCTGCCTCTTGTCAGGGACGTCTGTCGCCCAGGCCTGCGAGGGCCCCGTATTTAAATATCTTGCACTCCTCTGCATTTTCCCTTGTCACTTCTCTACATCCGATCAATGGTCTAGTCCATAATTCTGTGTAATGACCATCATTATCGTCCCCGTAGAGTTTAATGAGAGGCCACCACAGTGGGATGGCTGACGGGTCAGGAACTAGAAATAGGTTCACATGCATTTCCTTCATGTCCGCATTTCCCATTGCCTTTACTTTGTGGTGGTGGGAGGGCCACCTGTGGATAAAGACAGTCATCCAGAAGGAGTGGAATTGGGGGATGGGGGGTGGAGGGCAGGGGTAACGTCCATTGATTTTTTTAAAAAGTGGAGTAACCTCAGGGAGAATTCAAATATGTATTTGGGGTCATTTATTTTTTATCTTTATTGTTGAAAGTATTACATATGTCCCCCCCCCCTTTTTTTTTAATTGGGTCATATTTTTGAAAGAAGATTAAGAATTAACTCCTAGCGCTTAGTCGCCTCAGGGTCATTGCCATCCAAGTCGGGTTTTCAGGAACATATGGTCCTTGATAACTAAGTTGCTGTGCATTCATTTGACACTGAGAATTGAAGCGAATTTCTGGTCAAGTGGAGTTGATAGTGCTTCCGTTGTAACATCGTCCCCCCTCCCAACACCCACACACACACACAATGAAAGTGTTGGTTCTGGTTATAATAAAGCAGCAAACACTGTTAAACCATCATCTGGAAAATGTGCTTGTATACTGTTTTAACACCTCTTCCGATTATTACCTGTCAAAGTGGTGGATGTTTTCTGAAAATATCAACTTACATCTATTAGTGAATCTGAAACACACACACACACACCAAAACAAAACAAAACAAAACAAAACAAAACAAAACAAAAAACACAGAAGGCCGTAGTCGCCACACACATGCTCCCTGGGGATGTTTTCCTTTTTAGCTTAAGATTTCCAAGAGTGCTTAACACACAATGTAGTCTTTAAAAAAAAAAAAAAAAAAAAAAAAAAGATATTTTACAGAGAGAAAGGGAGAGGGATAGAGAGAAACATCGATGAGAGAGAATCATCCAACAGCTGCCTCCTGCACGCCCCCTACTGGAGATGTGCCCACAATCCAGGTACATACCCTTGACCGGAATCAAACCTGGGACCCTTCATTCTGCAGGTGGACGCTCTATCCACTGAGCCAAACCGGTTGGGGCCACAGTGTAGTCTTTCCGTTCCAGGGAAGAGGCAGATTCAAATGGGTAGTTGATCCATGTGTAGACAAACTGCTAATTATTGCTTCCCAGGAACTCCACTCTTCAACTTTTCCTAATAGGAAATATCACCATTTGCAGCTGTATGATAACATTTCATGAATGGAATATAATGAAAATGGTGCTTGCATCCATAAAGCAATTATTATAAATTACTTTGCTATGGAAACACAATTCAGCCATCTGCTGGCATTTCGTGGTTTCCGTGGCTCCGTTCGTTTTAAGATGGTGCGTTGTTTGAATAGAGCAGGTTCCTCTTAGGAGGTTGTTTGAAGACAGGGAACACCCATACCAAACCTGCTTCCTGTCACTCAAAGGGTCTCTGAGGCTGTTTTCTGGAACTCTGGGCTTTTTGCCCTTTTTCAGTGGTTTTGAAAATAACGATTGGGACTAGGACAAAATGGACCAACTAATTAAGCAAATTGATGCTTTGAAACCTGGAATCCAACTTTTATCATTTGTTTAGCTATAGGCTGTGATCGCCAAAGAGAAAAGTTGCCAACTCAACCCACCAGTGACTTATCCCCATAGCTGTGGAGGCTGCATTATCAGTTAAGCAAGAGCATTTTGAAACAGTCATTTTTATTTTCTCTTAGAATTAGTGCCATATTATTCTGCTTCTCGGCCTGTTAAGTCACCCTCAGCTATTTTTAAATGTGCATTTTAAATTGTGCGTTTTACTACCGGGCTTTTTGTTTTAAAGCGGCGTATTTATTATTCGCCTTTGGGACAAATTCTCTTCTTCTGCCATAGAAAGTAACTACAGATGCGGACGTCATGTCTGTAAAAAGATGCGAGAGAATAGAGAATTCCGAGCAAGGGAAAATTTCCTCCTTTGGTTTTACTTTGAATCTTTTTTTTTTCAGAGTGCCAAATTATTTTTATGATTAAATGCAACTGAACAAAAAGATGCTAAATTCCCCCAAAGTCACGGGCAACTCCGAAAGGGTAGGCTTGTGCAAACAAAGCCAGTTTTCACTCCAGCTCACAAAAGCCGAGAAATGTATATGCAATTGGTGTGTGTGTGTGTGTGTGTGTGTGTTTGTATTAATAAAAGGGTAATATGCAAATTATTGGGACGCCCTCATGCAACGACAGAGCAGCATGCTGCAGAGGGCGACCAGGCGGGCAGGGGGTACAGTGAGGGTGACCAAGTGACCAAACAGCAGGCTACACTGGGCAACCAGGTCAGCTGGGGGGGCAGTGAGGGGCAACCAGGTCAGCAGGGGGGCAGTTGGAGGTGACCAGGCCAGGAGGAGGAGCAGTTGAGGGCAACCAGGCTGGTAGGAGGGGACAGTGAGGGGTGATCAGGCTGACAGAGGGGTGCAGTAAGGGGCAACCAGGACGGTTGGGGGGAGAGTTGGGAGCAACCAGGCAGGCAGGGGGGATATTGGGGGTGGCCAGGCTGGCAGGGAGGGCAGTTAGGGGCGACCAGGCTGGTGGGAAGGGCAGTTGAGGGAGACCAAGCCAGCAGCAGGTGGCAGTTTGGGGTGATCAGGCTGCCAGGGGGGACAATTAGGGGTGACCAGGCTGGCTGGGGGGGGGGGTAGTTAGGGATGATCAGGCCAGCAAGTAGAGGCAATTAGGGGTGATCAGGCAGGCTGAGGGGGGGGGGCAGTTAGGGGCAACCAGACCAGCAGTGGGGAGCATTGGAGATGGGCAATCTAAGGGACCACAGACCAAAGGGGCTGTTATTTAGGGATCCATTTCCATGACCACTTGCAGCTTGATGTCGCTGGGGCCTCCAAAGATGATATGATAACCAAAATTTCTGTTCGGGTCCGAGTCCGTTGTCTCATGAAATGGAACAATGGGTTTGTGGACAAAGAGATGAGCGAAAGTGAAGGTTTCTTACAGCAAAGATCCCTGCTGCAGGGAGGGGGCCCAAGTGGGTTGCCAGGCAGGAACTGGGAGATTTCTAGAGGCTCTTTGCCAAGAGACAAAAGGCATACAGGTAGCTGCCATGTCTTTGCCAGCGTGGTAAGAGCACTCATTTCCCTCATTGTTTTGGGAGATCATTTAGCCCTCCCACAGGTGAGACATGCTTCAGGCCAGCTCCTTGCTCTCAGTTTGGTGAAGATGGAAATAAAGTTTTTGAAGCGAAAACCTGTAACTACCCCAGAACACACACACACGCGTGCACGCACACACACACACACACACACACACACACACACACCTTAGTGACATGCAAGAGTTCCGTCCTTCCTATTGAAATCCCCCCACTCCCCCAGAGGGATTGATTTCTCTGGCCTGCTCACTCCATCACAGCAGCTGAGTCAAGGTGACCCATACTCCACCCATTTGCTTTATGTTGTATCCAACCTCTTCACTGTCAACCTTCCCTTTATTTGGTAATTCAGTGCAGTAACTCCCCTTCTTATCGTTTCTACAGGGGTGTTGGTGCCAGAAGAAGAGAATGATTGATGGGACACAGACACCAGCTAGAGACACTCACCCTCTTGCTTCCGATATTGACACCTGAGTGCATCCCAGAAGCCCTGGTGAGCCACGAACACCCAGGATCTCCCAGGGTGATTGGATGCTTAGCCAGAGAGCACCCCTTTGCTGAATCACCACCCGCATCCGGACATCTTAGACAAAAACCAACTGGATCCCCCCCCCCATCGAATAGCTATGTTGTAGGACAACAACAAACCCACAGGCTGCTGTTAACGCCCGCCATGTCAGTATGTTAGCTCTCCGCCAAAGTCCTCCAGATCCCTGAGCGCGCCCAGTATCTCAACCCTTCACGGTCAGTTTTGGTGTCAACGTTGAGGTCTCATCCTCTTTTTCTTTTCTTTTTTTAAAATATCCGGCCCTACCTACGTATAGACATCCATTTGTGTGTAAAATAGACACAGGCCACAGATAAGCCAACCCTGTGCCAGTTCCCGCCAAGATCGCCAAGAATTTAGAGATGTATTGGTCACGATTCCTGTCCATTCACGCCCTCTGGGTTACCGTGTCGTCGGTGATGCAGCCCTACCCCCTGGTGTGGGGACATTACGATTTGTGCAAGACCCAGATCTACACGGAAGAAGGCAAAGTGTGGGATTACATGGCCTGTCAGCCGGAATCTACGGACATGACCAAGTACCTGAAAGTGAAGCTGGACCCTCCAGACATCACGTGCGGAGATCCTCCTGAGACGTTCTGCGCGATGGTGAGTGAGGCCACCCCTTCAAATAGAAAGTTTCCTGGTCAGTGGGGGCTTGTGGTGCGTGACAACCTATGCGGTGAGTCAAAGACTCAACCCTTCGATGAGCTGGATCTGTTGGGTGGGGTATGGGTCATCTCAGTGCAGGCCAGTCCCATCTGGGACCACTGGTGACAGTGTGATGGAGCCTCTGGACCTGAGCTTCCACTTTCCTGAGGTCTCACGGAGACAAGGGCACTGTATTCAAGTTGTCAAAGGACACGTCCAGCTGCAGTTGAGTTTCGGATTGGAGTAGGGATCTGAGCAGGCCGTATGCAAGGGGGTCCGGAGAAAACCTATGGGCGAACCACCTCCACAGCAGAGGTCCCTCCTGTGGGGATCTAAGGCCAGTCCCAGGTTTCACAACTCGAGGCTAGAGTGGATGGCATAGTTCTCCTCCTCGGGATACTGCTGGGATGTGGAAATCTTTGGTTAGGACACCAGTGAGAGGAAAAGCAGGGGCAGAGAGAGGGGCTAATGTGTTGTGGGGAGCTTTGCCAGTGGCGTCTTTATTATTTTAAATCCTTATTGTTGAAAGTATTACGTAAGTTCTCCTTTTCCCCCTTATTAACCTCTTCCAGCCTGCTCCTGTCACCCCTCATCCCCCCTGAACCTCACCACCCCATTGCCTGTGTCCACGGGTGATGCACATATGCATACAAGTTCACTGGTTGATTTCTTCCCACCCACCCTCCCTGCCTTCCCTCTGAGAGTCAAGAGTCTGTTCATGCTTCTGTGTCTCTGGGTCTGTTTTTGATCATCAGTTTATTTTATTCATTAGACTCCACCTATGAGTGAGATCATGTGATATTTATCTTGCCATTTGCAACGGCAAGGATGGACCTGGAGAGTATTACTCTGAGCGAAATAAGCCAAGAGGAGTCTTCTTTGTCAGTTCCTGTTGCCCCTTGTCTTCAAGGGCCGCGGTTTGCCATGGGTGTTTTAGAGTTGAATGCTGGGATGGGGGAACATATTTGCCGAAGGTTAATGACAAGGAACATACAAATTCAGGTACAGCAAGTCCTCACTTAACTTCGTTGCTAGGTTCTGCGACTTGAAGAGACACAACGGGTAACAAAACCAGTTGTCCCCCAGGCTAATTGGTAGAAACAAGAGTCTAATTCCCTTGGCGTCTCACCAACATGATACGTCGACAGCTTTGGATGAAACCATGTTATCTGGGGACCTTCTGAGCTGTCCTTTGAATAAGCAAAGGCATGGAGTTCATTGTTCTCATGGTGGGTCTGACACCTGTTCTGGGTGGAGAGGGAAACGCTATGGGAGAGGTAATCCTGGAGTGATGCACTGAATTTTCACAGGGACATTGCTGACAGCACACCTCTGAGGTATGAGTAGAAGAGTTTGGTGATTGCTGTGATGTACGCCAACAACGTGCTAAGACATTCAGGCAGCCTGTTCATTTGTGGCGGGGGCTGCGGGGGGGGGGGGAGAGGAAGCATTGCTTTTCTGTCATAGGTGGCCTTCATTCCATCCAGGGACCGTGACCCCATTTTTCACAGAGCAGAGAGAACCGTGCGGCAGATTTTAATAGTCTTCTTACCTGGCTTTATTATCTGGAACCTGGCCGGGCGTTTGCAGGAGAGTGAAATGATTCATCAAAGTAGCATCTGTTAACCGTCCCAGTTAGCATAAGATCATCCCAGACCTAGCCCTGGAGAAGAGATTTTGCAACAGGAAACGATTTTTTTTTTTTTTTGAGCAATAAAGTGTTCTCACCTAAAAGCTAAGGGCTTGCCATTTTTCAGAAGTGCCTTTGGGGACTGGTTTGAATTATTGCCTAAACCCAATTCTGTGGGGAGCAAGAGAAAGAGCCTGGCGATTAGGTGTCAAGATGACTAAAGTCCCCCAGGAAGACTGAGTATTTCAAAGGGAGGACCAGCTCTCCGGAAGCAGGCAGGCATGCGCTTTGCAAAGAAGCCTCCCCTTGGGTACCAGAGACCTCCAGGAGAGGAGTTCATTCCAACAGATTTGCAAAATCACAGCAAGTCTGGGGAAAGGCCAGGGGATGGCGGGCTTTATATAAGGCCCTTAATCAGCTCTCAGGAAAGGTCGGATTTCAGATCTGGTCATGAATCTGCGGGAAAATTGCGTGCAGGTAATGGGTTGTGTGATCTTTTACTCCTTATAGGACAAGAGGAGTTCGGGGCCAGCTCTTCCTATTATTATTTCTTTATTTTTTAGTATGTTTTTCATAGATTTCACAGAGAGGAAGGGTGAGGGAGGGAGAGATAGAAACATCCATGATGAGAGACAATCACTGATCAGCTATCTTCTGCACGCCCCCTACTGGGGATGGAGCCCACAACTCCTGACCCAGAATAGAACAGTGACCTCCTGGTTCATAGGTCTACACTCTACCGTTCAGCATACTGGCCAGGCTCTTCCTATTACTAAGAACACTCTAGCACTGTCTATGGGTTCTCATGACCTTGAAACAATGCGCCACTTCGGGACATGTTCAGTGATTCACATGTCTCGGTGAAGTGGCACATCTCCTTGTTCATAGAGCATTTCCACTTGCACGGACCCCGAGGGACGTTTTCAATGGGTTATTTGACGTGCAGCTTCCCCATCTCAGCTCTGGCCAGAGAATGCCTGCTCAGCCCTGTTCCTGTCTCTTGTGCCCAAAGGTGTGCTTGGGAGCAGGGGGAGCGGGGGTGTCTGCCATACACCCCCTCCCCCCATCACGGCTGGGAAAGGGGAAGTTACAGAACTTCCTACCTGCCTTTCACAGGGACATGGTCTAGGGTCCTTCCATGAGCCAGTGCCTGCCAGCCTACTGGCTAAGGGATGTCAGAGACCAAAGGGGAAAACAGAATTCAAATGATGCTGAACGCCATCCCCTAGACCCGTGGTTGGCAAACTGAGAGCCACATGCAGCTCTTTGGCCCCTTGAGTGTGGCTCTTCCACAAAATACCACGGCCTGGGAGAGTCTATGTTGAAGAAGTGGTGTTAGAAGGAGTTTAAGTTTCAAAAATGTAGCTCTCCAAAGAAATTCCAATCATTGCACTGTTGATATTTGGCTCTATGGACTAATGAGTTTGCCGACCACTGCCCCGGACTCCCTGTGTGCTCTGTTTGCTCACTCACACGAAACCCCGCAGGACAGTCTTTTGAAAAGGCCACATTGTACCAGATGCCGCTGCACAGACGCCTTGGTGGGTTTCAGATTGTCAATGAGCCGAGCCGTTTTCTGAGGGAGAGTGCAAGGCATATGAGAGGGTACCCATCAAGGCTGCATTTGGACGCCTTCATATGCACATGATTGGCATAAGGGATCTCACCACCCGTCCTGGGAACGCAGACTTCGGGCCTGTCTGTGTGCCTGTGGGAAGCCATGCTGAATGCATTCTCTGGGCAGGTTTGGGCTCCGGCGGTCAGGCTGCCTCCAGAGGCTATCCCCTCAGCCCCCTCAGCCCCAGGTTCGATGGACTCCAGAGTCATTTGTGTCTTGACGTCCACGCTCTCCCCTCCTTGGCACACGCATGCTGCCTGCTCCTTCCGAGTCGTTATGGCCCATTACATCAGGGCACCTGCCACCAGAGTGCAGTCCCGCTCAGCCCTCACATGCAAATGTTCATGCCGAATGGTCTCAGCGATCACCTGCTCAGCCGGCGACACCCTTATTAGCTGTGACCACGGCAGAGCTGAGCGCCGAGGGGATGTGCAGTGAGAGAAGTGCCCCATCGTTCCCACGGCCCATTTATTTTCTGTGAGGCTCCCGCTCCCTGGCAATGCACCGAGGGTCTGTGCCCCTGCTCTTTGCACTCGTTTTGTCATTCTGTGTCATCCGTGAACGCCACGCTGACTTCAGAGGGTGCATTTAAGAAGAAAAGGACCACGTGATTCCATTGGACCACAGATCTCTGGCTGTTAGCCTGAGTGACCTACTTACTAACTCTTTGGTGTCTGGTGATTTTTAAGTTGTTGGGTGTTAATAAGGACTTTAAACATTAGTTTTATGGGAGAATCCTGCCATTTCTACTCAGGATAACGGACTAGGGGATTTCGTACAGATATAGGTATAAATGAATATACAGGATGTCCCCCCCAAAATGTACACACACTTCCCAGCTGATAGCTCAATTGATGTTGCTTTCGTTTTGGATTTAACCCATTGGAATGGATGATTATTCAAAATGCGTGTCATTTTCTGGGATGCCCTATCTGTATGAATAGTGCATATTGAGGTCATACATTTTCTTTTTAATGTAATAGTATACATTTCTTTTTAGGTGGTGGTGGCTACATAAAAATGGCTGTTTCCGTTCAGGGGGAAGGACCTGAGGGTCAAAGAGGGTTGAGCGGCCTGTCTCAGGCTGATCCACCAAGGTAGTCTGGGTCACAGCCTGCTCTGAGTCACGTCAAAGCCTCAGGTGACACAGCTCTGTCCGAAAACACAGGTGCTCTGGCCCCTGCCGTCCATTCTCTGTGCAGAAAGAGCGAAGGGGCTGCATGGACCTGCGAGCCACGCTGAGGGACAACCCAGAGCTGTTCTTTGTGCTCAGACAGACGTGGCGCCCAGAGCACCACGCCACACCCCTGCGCCTCGCACACACAGGCCAGATTGTCTGCACTGACCTCCGGCCGGCTGCTCGTTCTCGGGATAAGTCCAACTGAAGCTTCGGAAAGAAGGCTGCAGGCGCAAGGAGTCATGGGCAGCCGTGCAATCATCGGCTCCAAAGTGCTGATGACTGGAGAAACGAGGGCCCTTGGGTGCGGCGATGGATTCCGGAGCCAATCAAAACCAAATTAGGAAACACAAGATTATTAAGAAGTCTTCTGGGCATGTAATTTGGGCCTAATATTATGAGGTGGACATTAAGCGTTCCCCTTGGAGACGCCGGGCGTCATTAATGTAGCACGCCTTTAATTACAAGGAGGCTCGGATTACTAAAAAAACGCAGGAAAGAAAGTCCTCAGCGGGGTAGTTAGCAATACCCTC